CCTCCGTGTAGCAGCCAAACCGCCGCAGCCGCTCCAAAGACTTCACGTCCTTCTCTGATGCGGAGGGCCTCACTCATCCACAGAAGCAGAAGATCACTGAGAACGTTTGCGTCAAATGTGAAACAAAGGCTACGACGTTCAGTATCGCGATCCCATTTGTCACGAGCTCCTAACCGCAACAACCCAAGAGTTGGTGAACAGGGAAGTGGGAGTCACTCAGCCGCACCGCGACCTGTGCCAGGTCACTCGGCAATGGGGCGCCACAGGGAAGTAAGAGGTGCAAATGACAATGCAATCACAAGGCGTGCTACTCATCATTCCAATGCTGTCGATTGTGAGAAAACGAAAAGCTTGTAGTACTCCATTGGATGGATGCCTTCTGTCTATTATTGTTTGAGGAGTTGGTCTGGAATGTTATATTTTTGGTATATGGAAATTGACATTGAAACTGAAAGGGGTGTGCGATAGACTTACCGCCACGTGGTGCACCCTGGGCAACGTATACTCATACGGCAAAAGAGTCTATTAACTGGCAGTTGACCTCTCACTTCAAACTCCATGACCCGACTGTATGCATATTCGACTCCTTCCTCAGTACTCATCTCACCTTTTCTCTACCTTGTGTCTGTCTGTCTTCTCTATATCTGTTGATCAATCTTCTTCTCCATCTCTCGGATTTTTTCACTTTGATTTTCCGAACCCGATGTCAGCTAGTTGGCTTAGGATGAACATTTAAAACACCTGCCTTTAGAAATAATAATTAATATTTGTTGACTATAACATCGCAACGCAGCTATTAGTGAGAGAAAATGAGTTGTAGAAATTGTTGAAAGTTGCACTTTAAATATTGCTTTTGTAATTCAAATAAATGTTTTACCTGAATTTTATTCCCCAACCCAAATTAAAGAGTGAAGATTTATTTATTCAGATAAATCCCTGTGATAAATCAACAAGTAGTGGAAGAGGTTGTCAACGAGAAAGTTATTATAGAAGTTTCCTCCCAAATATTAGGATATTACTGATGGAGAAATCACTTTACTTGAATCGTGAATCGACAGGATTCAAGTCAGTTACTCGTTCTCTCTCCCTCTCTTAGTACTTTTACTTGCGACTTTTTCGTGCACTTTAAATGAAGCTTCACATGCA